GTTTGGTCCCGAAATATTACTCGTAATTCGGACATTCAATTCTAGTATTTTGCTTTGCCTTTTGTCTACGTGGAACGAATACTACAGAAGTTGTATGTGTTAAATCTCGCGTCAGTATACCTCATCCTATCCGTGAAAGTCAACCCCTTAAGCGTCTAAACTTAGTTCACCTGGATCCTTGAAGTTCCTGCAATGCTTCCACTTTGCTAGAGGGATCGATGTTACCCTGCCACGGAAGAATATCTCAAAAACTGTCTATCTGACTGCATATTTATTTGAAGAAAGAAAGAAGGAAGACTAGTGCAGAATAATCTGGATCCATTTTATTTCGTCGGTTCTCATCATCTGAGTACAACCTGAGTTCTTTAAAAAAAAGTATACAGTTTTAACGAACATATGTCCATTGGCAAGCATATTGTCAGAGCGTCATAGTGAAATAAGGCGTTGCGATCTACAAGGTGTTTAAAGTGTGTAGCGGTAGATAATTCCCTAAAATTATTGACCATAAGAATAGACTTCGTCTAAGAGCAGAATTACATCGTGACCATAGGAATCGTCAGTGAACATTGGATGCTGACCCTTAGAGTTTAAGTCGACTTGTTTAGCTGAAGGGTTCCGGTCAAGCATCCTCGCCATTTGGTACTCCGCTGTGTCACTTTAGTGCACGATAATTAGCTAGCTTAGCTTCCGCTTCAATCCAAGATTTGGTTCCGAAATATATCTCGTAATTTGGACAATCAGTTGTGGTGTTTTGCTTTGCCTTTGGTACACGAGAAACAAATAAGATAGAAATTGTTGGTATAAGATCTTGCATTGACATACTCAGTACTGTTCGCGGGCATCCATACCGTCAACCTCTAAAAGTGTTACGACAAATACATCTTGTTAGAGAGAAGTTTTTTAAAAAATTAATTAACAGTTGTGTTGTTAGGGTGGTGACAAAAGAAAATTAGTAACAGTTACGTAATTAGATAAGGGAAGATCAAAATTTTGGTGCACATGAGGTCACCTGAGAAGTTGATGATGCAATTCAATGAGCAGAACTCAGAAGATCAAGAAAAATTATCTCTTAAGAGGGTGAAGCGAAAAGGGGAGGGGAGTGAAAAAGATAAGTCAACAAAATTAGAAAACAAAGAGTTACTAAGAAGTGTGTCACTAGGGTAATCGAAGTCAAAAAACTGATTCTTTTAGAACGCATAAGTCAAGCTTCAATCTTTTAATTGCTATAGCTTCAGCAAACCCGAGAAGTCTTTAGGTACTTTGTGTGTTAATTATTTTGAATGATTCCAGCACATCCACTGGGTGTCCTGTATCAATCAGGTGTTTGGCTGATGAAGAGGCTCCTCGCTGCATGTTCGCAGAATCTGACATAGACCCTCCTCTTTAAACTTCTAATGCAACTGCTTCCTCAGATACATGTGAATTGGTATAGACAGTTGGAGGTATATTAATTGCTGAGAGTAACACATAGGAGCCGCGAAAGGTTCTAGAATACAGTTTCAAAAATGCTCACGGACTATCACCATTACATAAATGGGCATCAACCACGACGCACCAACTAACTAAACGATCCACAGTCGGCCGTCGAATCTCTATCTAGCACGACAAGATATTTTTGAGTGCGTTTATTTGAGTTGGGGTCAGTCAGTCGGTATCACATCTCTTCCTTAATAGGAACTGTAAGTACACAGACAGAGGTGATAAATGATTACCACGTCACTGATCAGCTTCTCTCTACTCTAATTTAACCCTGTCACCTAACAGTGCTTCAACAATCAATGATGCGAATTGAGTCGAGTGACTCGAACCGAACCTGGTCAAACCTGTTTGGAGTCAGAGTTCCACGAATGTTCGAACGTTGTAAGTGACAAGCTGAAAGAGGAAACGTGTCGTCAGAGTTGTCAGTCTTGTTAGATGTGGATGGAGGTGGGTTGAAGGAAAGCCGCTGATTGACTGGTGAGTGACTTGAACCGACTCGTTGGGTTTTCAACGTAGGACAGTTGCACAAATGTGCAACAGTTCTTCAGGTCACCACACTGCATATAACACACAGTGGTAAAGGCTATAAATGTTCATGGAACCGAAGTGAATGGAGATGTAGGGGAGAAGGAATAAATGCATGCAGAAAAATGAGAATTTGATGGATGTGGAAGTGCATAAAAAGTGATTGGAACTGCTCCAGCTGTATTGGTTTTGAGATTTTTCTTTACTGTGGCCTATCTTTGTGTTCTCTTTATTAGTTTCATATGTATTACATTTGTATAACCTATTTTCGCCTAAATAAGTAATTTTTGTCCTAGTAGTTCAATATTCTTTTAATTTTTTTGTTTTCATATGCTGAATGTACATCTTAGATTGATAGACACACGTGCTGAGAACTCGACACTGTCGTATTATCATTGTTTTGGATTGAAGACATTAAAATCTTTTTTGCGTAGCATTTTGCTAGAAGGTCAGTTCACATTTATGTGATTCGGTGCAAAACTGGAGTACTTCACGTATTCCTGTGTTAATTGTTATTCCGGTGACAGTCTACATTTTAGCGATCCTAACTGAAAGTAGTTCACCTATGTACTTGGCAATTCTGCATTCTACCTGTCCTCTTATTGATGACGAAAGAAACGCAAATTAAAAGGAATTTGATATGTATCCATATATATATGTGTGTGTATGGTGGTCTCTCTTTCTGTTGCTCTCTTAGTCTGTGACCATTTCACTTTGATGAACCTGTCTCCTTTATCAATGTATATTCCCCTTATATTATATATAATATGAGTGTTTGTTGACAGTCCGTTGCTTGGTGACATATATCCATATTATATGTGTGGTTGTTGACATGTCTGCTATATTTTGCTATGTATATATGGATCGACACTCCATTATAATTAGCCATTCATGTTAAGACTGTCTATTGATTTGTTCACACACTTGTCTGGACATTCATATATATTTCGCTCTTACAATCTTGTGTGACACTACTTTGGTGTGATACCACTTATTGCTTCTCCTTGTGTTTGGAAAATAGAAGTATCATCGCAAACCTAGTGGTCTTCTGATTTCCGTCTTTCTGGCGTAAGGACTGTTAAATTCTCGACCAGTACATAATAATAATTTGGCGACGAGTATATAACAGAATTACATTCAAACTCTGTGCGTAAGTTCATATATGACAGTGAAAATTCTTGGTTATTATGATAATATGCTCATTTACGCCGTATATTTGTGTGATTTGAAAGGTAAATATTTTCCAAGAGCAATGCTATTAATCCTATTTAACGGACATGGCTTTATTACTGACTCAAGTTATGTGCGTATAGACAGCGCAACCAGAAAGCACAAAAATGCCTGTGAAGCCATTTCGTATGAGTGCAAGTTGAAACAAGGTCTTTAAAGATCGAAGTTTGTCCTACAGACGGAATCTGGCCTTGAGTTTGGCTTTCAGTGGTTCTTTATCAACACAATCCGATTTCAGCAATTATAGCCAAAAATGCGGTTCGGTGACTTTTCATGAATTATACATTTCTTACCTACATTAGTGCGATCATCCATTGAAGGAATTGTAAGTGGGCTTTTTAGGTTTTACTATCTAGTTTTTACCGTACTTTGAGATTAGTAACGATCATTAATGAATTCCATAACTTAACAGCGATACATCGCATTTTTTGTCGTAAGGGGATATAAAATTTCATGTTCTGATGACACCACTTCTCAGCTCATATATATATATATAAATGGGAGGAACCTGAAAGAAACAACCTCCTTTACCTACCTGGGAAGTATCGTTTCAACTACAGGAGGACGGAACTGACGAGGATATCAAAGCCAGAATCGGAAAAGCAAGGCATGCTTTCATTACTCTTGAGTCTGTGTAGAAGTCAACAGCACTCAGCATCAAAATTAAGATCCGGATTTTCAACCTCAATGTGAAGTCATTGCTACTATACGAATCAGAGACTTGGCGAGTCATAAAGAGCATCTCAAACAAATTACAGACCTTCACAACAGTTGTCTTCGCTCAATACTCAAGACCAGATGGACAGAAAAGACCAGCCATAGGGAGGCGCCTCTGGAAGCGAACCAACACAGCAGGAACAGATTGTGAAACAAATAGGCGGGAAGAAATGGAGATGGATTGGCTGGCCATACTCTGAGGAAACCATCAAGTGACATCACTAGACAAGCCATTGCTCGAGTGGAACCCGAAAGGGAAGTGGGCGGCGATCTGGTCGTCAGTGAAAGGGTGACTTGGAGGAGATCATGTGAGGGGGAGATGAAAGCATGTGGGCAGACTTGGAGCGGGGTGAAAAAGTTGGCAGAAAACAGAAGGCAGTGGAGGTGCGCAGCTGAACCCTATGTTCCTCTAGGAATTAAAGGATAAAATAATAATAATATATATATATGTATGAATCTCTTGAACAGTCCGATGGCGATTTGTGAAATTATCGTTGAAACCGCAGAGTGTGAGCCTAGACCAGTATTCGACTACTGAGTATTTCGCAGTTGCTGTAACCTTGAATGGAAGTTGACTATCCGCATGAGCTGTAAACCAAAATATGCCGTCTGAATCTGACAATATATACAGATGAGCATATAGCTTACACCAGAAAGCAATAAGCAGCGGCGCCCTAAACTGGATTCTTTATCGTAATATCGAAACTCTGTCTGCAGATGTGGGGAATAAACTCGACAACACTCACAGCAATACATTGTACTGTCCTGCAACACTCCGTTTTGTTTGTGTTTAGGTGGTATGGTGATGCGATATAGTCTTGCTACGTTAGGACCACACAGGTAGTCTGGCAATTCAAAGTGTGTGTGCGAGAGATCAGTAGTGATTATGGTTTTTCTCACCCACAAAGCCGAAGAACTCAATGGACTTTCATTTTACCGCCACTGCAAGTTGAGTTAATTAGTGTATTCAGAAGAATTTTTGTAAATTTCTGTACCCTTAAAAAAAGATGACGCTTGTTTTGTGATCGTAATTGTTTTTACCGTTGTTTGTTTTTATCGTTGAATATATCGCGGTCTACAAAACTGTAATCTAATTTCGCTGGTTGATGATGAGTTGTTTCAGTCCAGAAACAGAATTTTATGTCATACGAGAGACACGGTCGACAATATATTATACTGGATTGCGTAGGGAATCCACCTTCGACGCTCACTTAATGTGTACTTTACCGTTCGAAATAAGAAGTCGAATCTTGTCACTACTCTCAAGTAATTCACTATAGTGTTTCTAAAATGATTGTAGTTAACGATCTCATCAGTTTATCTGATTCCTGTGAAGAATTTCGCCGAGTAGTCGAGGCGTACTGCTTATCTAAATCCTGTCGGCAACTGTCGCATTTCTACAACCCTCATGACCATGAAAGCAGTGTCACTGATGGCCTTATTGAACTTACGAATTTTTACAGCTCTGTGGGTGAGTAGTTCATTTTCGCTAACGTTGGTAGGAATCCTTTTCAACTGTATTTTCAAAGGTGCATCGTTGTGTTGCACTTTAGAAATGCTTAAGTCCAACCTAAAACGTGTAAGTTAGACGTTTTTTGTTGTTACGATGTTTTTCTGTTTTCATGTCATCCTCCACTTATCATCTAGTAAATGTCTTGAGGTTAAGGTCTGAAGTAAATCATGTCATTCGGTATATCGTGACACACTATACAAATGCTTATACTACTCTGATTCTCTTGAGATGAGGATCCTAAACCAGTGTAGCTTCAAGGCTACTGACATGCGATAATTCAGAATCCCAGAGTATGTTCCAGTAGAAGTAATGATATACACGGAAATTATAAGCGAACAAACTGGTTCTTCAGTAATCAAGGAGCAACGTAGGTGGGAAGTTAGATCCAAATGTTGTCAGATTCAGATAATTAAGTGCTGTAGACTCTCGTTACTTGTGTTTATCCTTGCAATGTATTACTTCGAGAGATCTAATTTCTTTTTGAAAGAGTTCACCAATGAAACTGATACTAATTGTTTGGGTAATGAGCTGAAATTGTTGACCACTTTATGTGAGAATGTAAATGCCACACGTATCTTATTCCTGTCCTGTTTAAGCGTCTTTCTGTGGTGAACTTGCAAAGGTGTCCTAGAGGGAGAAAAAATGTTAGAGAGGTGAGTACCTAAGTCACCCTCCAATATATGATATGCTGGAATTAATTCATCTGCTAGGATATTTTAATGGTAAGTGATTTGAATATTTCATCCTTTTCTCATAAGGAGGGTTAGAGATACTACTGACTAACATGGTTCCTACCATTTGTACTCTTTGCAAGATTCCTGCCCCCTTCTTGCAGAGTGGCTTAGCTGCTTGTATACGATATTACAACTGAAGCCTGACATATGTTGTGTAGAGTAATTTAAACACGGTTCTATCTAATCATTTGAAAGCCTTTCGAATAGCTTATAACATTTGGAAATCCTTACCTGCAACCTCACTACGACATCCAGTTGTCTTCAGATCATGATTGACAATAATTCCTAAGTCCCTTAAAGTTGGGCAGCTCTGTTTCCTGTGGCTTATGACGTGTAAGATCTCTGAAAATGCATTACGTCACTTTTCCTGGAATTAACTACAAACTCCGGAAGTTAGACCATCCAGTCTATTTAAATCACCTTATGAGACTGATCTATCATTATTCACAGTTGTCCAGATCCTAATATCGTCCGCAAATAACAGGGGAGCTGAGGTGAGAATTTTCGGCCGTTTGTTTGTGTAATAGAAATAAAAAGAGGCGTTTTACCGTTCCTTGCAGTTCCTCACCAGATACGCACATTACATCGTTAGCTCTTCTCTTTTGCCTTCTACCCAGTACCTTAAACTACTCACGTAAACATTTGTCTAATCCAAAACATTTTAGTTTACTAAGGAGACACAAATGGAATACTATCGAATGCGTATTTAAGCTCGATAAAAACAACTTTCATTGGTAGGTTTTTACCACTGGTTTCTATCCGGTCTTCCCTAGCAGACATTAAGTTTTTTGTGCAGGGTTGTCCTGGTCGGAATCTATGCTGTTCTTCCACCGGCAAGCCACGTTTCTCCATACGAGCAAACAGTTGCTCCTTTGTGATTGTTTCTAGTATCTTTGCTATAATGCATGTCAGAATTACACACTGGTAGTTAGTTACCGATTGCCTCCCTGGAGATGGGGCTTATAACTGCATGCTTGCAGTCCATGGGTAGCCTAGCCCTAGTCATTTTTAAAATCCCCATAAGTGCGCATTATATTCGCCAAGGAGGTTAAGAGTCTAGAGGGGAATCCGCCAGGCCCTGGTGATTTACTTGGCTTCAGTTTAGACAGTAGCTTAAGAACCATTGAGTCATCTACAGCAGTTGGGGACATTTAAGTGGCTAAGTCAGTGACCTTACTATACCTGGATGGTACTATAAGACTAAAAAACACCACAGAAGTATTCAGGAAGGTTCTCAGACTTTGGTTCACTTGATTCTGTCATCTTTCCAGTATTGCTCATCAGTGACAGTATACTACTGCTAATTTCTTTTAATATGCCAGTTGTGCACAGTCCAACAATAAATGTCTCTCGTACTCTATACGACTTTTATCAACCATACTCTTTCAAAGGCTCCGCATTTTGCAGTGGCCTATCTGAAACTCTTTCCTCCCCGTTACAGTAAACTTGTCCCATAGGCTTTTTCTCTTTCTTAATAAAATTATTTCACAGCGAATTCAAGGCAGTTTACGGGATAATTCTTTAGTGGTAGACCAAAGAACAAAAGGTGAAGTGACGCATTCTAATTTTTTCCTAGATCTTGCTCAAGCTTCCTAGAGAGACCCATTTGTATTAACTGACCAATCAGATACGGTCACTGCATTTCGGGTTGTCGATATATCCTATTTCCAAATTTTTGGACGAGCAGATGTCGAACTATGAATAAAATCACAAATCCTAAACGTAAAAGTAATGACTACGCGGCCACTACTGCCTAGCGTTAGGAAGCATCTAATGTAGTTTACATCCTCTTGTGTGTTTAACTCTAAGTCCAGAATACATGGGTATTTTTCAGGATCGTAAAGTGTTGGTGCAAGTACATGAAGTACAAGTGCAAATTCTAGGACAGTCAGTATAATTTATTTGTTGAAACAGGTATACAAGCTAGTTGTTGTTAATTCTTCCAAAATAATATGTGGGACATTAAAATCACCCACTATTAGGTAACTATTTCTACTGATCAACTCTCTCAAGTGACTTAGTGCAAAGTCGTCAGGCTGGCTGGTAGGAATCTGATGAATCACCCAGACAGTTACAGTATCTTTATTCAAGTTAACACAAATTTCAGCTTGACTGGTGCCACTGTCATGCTCTTCTGAGACCAATTTCCTATGTCATCCAGAGTATATAAAGCAACCCGACCACCTTTCCGATCAACTACTATGTCTACTGTAATGTAGATATTCCCTGGTATAAAAAGAGTGAGGTCCATACCAGGTTTCGGTAATTGGAATACCACCAGGTTATTCAAACAGTACTCCTAATTCAAGGAGCTTGTTCATAAGAACACACGCGTTCATATAGCACACTAAGACACCTACATGTTCATTCGACTTATGAATAGAGATCTTGTAAACATAGTTTTCTGAGACCTCACCACCCAAGAACCGGATATTTTAAGGTTTCTTCCCTTTTTTCTAGTCGAGTCTTCACTTCCTATACGTTTTTCCTCGTTTTAATCCCATACTCTAACGGCCAGTCAGACCTCATTATCAACCTTTTACCTTGATCTATAATTCGTTGTTGGGGATAATGTTCTTCATCTCATTCCTTGGTAGTATTTTCAATAGTCGTCGAGATCTTTTAGTGGCATCCGTATTTAGTTTGTTAATTGTTATATCAACAGACAACATTCAGCATAAATGAGAGAAATCTAAAAGAAGCAACTTCTTCACCTACCTACCTACCTACGTGGGAATCATCGTTTCAACTACAGACGGAACTGATGAGGATATCAAAGCGAGAATCGGGAAAGCAAGGCAAGCCTTCATTCCTCTCTGTGTGGAGACCAGCAGCACTCAGAATGAAAAACAAGATCCGGATTTTCAACTGCAATGTGAAGTCAGTGCTACTATACGGGTCAGAGACTTGGCGCCGCGTCACAAATGGCACTTCGAGCAAAATACAAACGTTCATCGACAGCTGTCTTTGCTCAATGCTTCGCTTAAGATCAGATGGCTAGCCAGAAAAGATCAGAAACAGGAAGCGATCTCTGGAGACGAACCAACCATGAATCAATTGTACAACAAAGATGCAGGAAGAAATGATGGTGGATTGGCCATACTCCGAGAAAACCATCAAGTGAATGACATCACACACCAGGCTATCGCTCGAGTGGAACTCGAACGGGAAGTGGCGGGTTTGTCGTCATTTCGAGGGCGATGTGGAAGAGGTCATGTGAAGAGGAGATGCAAGCATGTGGGTATGCGTGGAGCCGGGTGAAAACGTTGTCAGAGAACCGAACGCAACGCAGACGAGCGGCTGAAGCCCTATTTTCCTCCAGGAACTAAAGGAAACAATAATATGATAACATAACCTTTCTTACATGAACTCTGTTTGTTGTATCGAAAAGCAGATCACAAATAATAAAACTAACTGTCTCGAGGTTATGTGTTTGTCGAACAGCTACATCTACTTCTTCTGATTCTTCCAAGTTTTTTTTAACGACATTATAACTAGTCAGGTTACACAATGGTATTAACGGCCATATAGACCTTATTATTAAATCCTACAGTATGTCTTTTTTGTAGTTTCTCGACTTCTTACTTCTTTGTACTGCTTTAGTAGAGGTAGTTTGTTACACTGGGTTCTCATCGCAGCTATGAGCAATCCGTTTATTTGATGCGCCACCCTTTGGTCATCTGGTCTTACGATGCTAAAACTCCTCGCACTCTTAGATTTGTGAAGTTTCTTACGTATCTTGAAAGCATATGTTTGTCACAATGCATCTGTTTTGTGTTCACTACTTTAGGGTATAGTTCCACCTTAATCTTATGGTTTAGTCCAGAGTTGTTAGTGGTGACTTTGATTTCGGATGCTGACTTGTTTCCCTCGTCTAAATTTTCGGTCAGTTTCTTGGACACAGGAAGTCTTACGATCTCTTGAATAAGAATGCCTTAAATATTTCCACGGAATTTGCGCAACAACGGAAATGATGGCTTAATACATTTATAGGTCAATGGTGATAAGCGAGTGCTAACTTTACGAAGCCGTAGGTTGCACCTATTACAGTGCTCCTTATCATCTACTGGGAAGTGACAGTTAGGTTTTCCTATGCATGGAGGATTTCATCATGAGCTGATATCAGTTAGAGAACCACTGGAAAACCTGGAAGTACTGTACAGCTGTTTTGTCTTAGTTTGGGACTCCTCATCAGTACGCACTTACCGGGGTTCGAACCCAGAACCTTTAGGTTTTCCACAGTTATTGTTGCGACTCATGTCGGTGTAGGCTATTTAAACCACACAGATACAAAAATATATACCAAAACACAGAATAATATAAAATACCTCATAAGGCACTAGAAAGTGAATAAAAGAACAGTCCTTCAACTAATTAAATCAGTCAAAGTGAACCGAAAAGGCTTTTGGTGTATTTAACACAACAAAGACTGGAGTTACTTCACAACGTAAAAATACTACTCTCCTTGATATAAGGATAAAACTTAGGCACTGTGGTAGAGTGTAATTCCATTATGGATGAAATTTATTTTGACAAAATCACACTGTGTTCGTGTACCTTGATATGATCATGAGCAGTAAATTGTGCTCGAAATGTCAGCGGCATATATTACTGTATAAAACTGTGAATTTATGAAAATCAATCTTATTGATAATGGAATTACCAATCTCCTTTTTGTAATATGAAGAATCCACATTTTTCTGAGGTAACCATTAGTTTGTTTGGAGTACTTAAACCACACAATCCTCTGAGGCGAATATTAAAGTAGAAGGCAAAATCTTGTGAATACTGTCAATCATAAGTGTAATATATCGGTCATAAGACCTGGTGGGGTGAACAGTGAAGTGGTATCCTATGGCTAGTCAAATTAGTTTATCATCTTCAGCACTGGTACAAGGCATGATGGCGTCGTTCACATATTCGAAGATTCACATAAAGTAAAATGTACTAACTGATAGTAAAACATCGGTATAAGTATGGAGTACTGTGTACACAAGCAAAATCTTTCATGCCAGTGTTAAAGGACCGTTTACTCGTTTTAAACAGGGTGGTTTGTGGTAACTGGACGTAACGAGTTCACTGTCCCAAATATCTAGTGATGACAATATGCTATGATTATGAACCAGTGCTACTATGTAGTAGCAAACAGATATTTAGTAAAATGTTACAGACTGCAGTGTTACAAACCTAGAACTAACATATAAGGGTGCTTGTTTTGAAGTCAATGGAGCATCTAGGTATTAAGATTAATAGGACAGCAAGAGGCCACTCCAAGATGAGTGGTTTTACGGGGGATGCTGACGACGCACTAGACAAGTCATTAGCTTCAAAAGGAGGTGACTGGTAGACAGAACTTCCGGCAATACTGGCACACTTAATCTGTTTCCAAGGAACAATAAATAAGTCGTCTTTTCAGTTGATGCGTGGAAGGAAACCAGCTCTTCAGATAAAAGTATGAATCGATCGCACCAATAACTGGAGGAAATAAATACGCATATAAAGTCAAAAATTAAAGGTCGGAAAATGAAAATACATTGCAGGAGGCAAGTCAGGTTCAAATAAATTCTTCTCGAAGTTGAAAATACCATACCTTATCACTGAGAGACACGGCATATTTATACTATCAGAAGAACAGTCAAACAAAAACAGAAAAATCCGGACACACTGGGATGCTGAAGTTAGGTATGAAGACATTACAAAAACCAAAGAGACTTTGAGGCTGTATACAAAATATTTGACAGAGAAATGGAAAGTTTGCAGACATGAGAAATGAAGAAATTTAGTTTTCAATATAGGCACCATGAATTGAAGAGGAGGAAACGGAAGATAAACGCATCCGAAATTAGGACATCGTCAGTTTGACAATATTTTTGATGTAAGATTGTAGTGCTGCTACTAGTACATCGCTCATGTAACTTAGCAAATAATTCAGCGCCAGTTACCGTTGTGTTTTTTTTATGACACTACTGGATCCTGCATCCAGAAATAATTTAATTCTTTTATCCCGTCAAGTGATATTATGTAATAGTATTGCCTTGATACGGATAATACAGTTTTCATTGTAACTGAACACTGCCTTAACTGGTATATTTCATGTTTCTGAGAACGTATTCTGTGTTACAAAAGGAGGAGCGATAGAGGGTGGTTGACAAAGTGAATGCATACATAAATATATAATCTAAAAAGGCTTAATTTTAGAAATTTTGTCATATAATAGGAAATTGTGTTACTGCATGAAAACTAATGGATTTCATGTTATAGTATGCAAAATCCTTGCATAATAGAAGATAATTAAGTATGTTCAAGGGTACATTTTGCTTGCATTCTATTAGGTGATGCACACAGAAGCACTGAAATCCACCAGACTTAAAGACAAACGGATAAAAGCAAGCACGAAAATTTCGCAGGCCGACCATAGATATCAGGCGTGCGTCGGCGTGGACTCAAACCCCGGACCATATGCATGGTCGTCGAGAGTCCTAACTACTGTGCCCCCGACGCAAGTACATTAGTGAAGTTGAATAAAGGTGTTGAGGTTATGGGGTTAATAATTTTACGAATGAGTTGTAATTTAGCCTTACGTAGAAACAAAGTGAAAATGCAATATTGCGTAGAAGTTCTACAGAAAATAGGAGAGTTACTAAGAGTTAAAATGAAGAGAAATAAACTGATCAAAAACAACAGGGTCATTACAATGATAGTAGAAGTGGTTCAAGAATTCTCTTTTGTATTTATAGCTCTGTTTTTCTATCTGGATGACCACAGCTTCAGCAATGCAAAGGGGACGAAAGCATATTGTCTTCGTTAGGTTGCTCTTCGCTTTGAAAGAGGAGCTTGTTGAGATAAGATCGCCAGTATCGACAAGGTAAGCAATTACTGCACACCTTATTAAGCCGTTGCAACCATGCAGGGTAGTGTTTCATCTTGATCACTTTTAGAAAGGGTATGCGTCGAACTACTAACGTGCCTGGTAGGAAGCACTTGGGCTCCTTCATATGTCATCAAAATATACAGGTATAGAAAATACTGAACCACAGACAAATATACGGAATACCTACTTTTCAATTGAAGAGGTTCACACTATGTTTTGATTTTTAAAATAGCATCCACTTCGTATGACATCCATCAAAACTGTCTGTTTGAAGTGGTGAAGGTACTTGATGGGATTTAATCAGGGTATATTGTTTGAGGTATATTCTTGTATACCCACTGTCCTTGATTTCAATTAAAAATACTGTGAACCCTGTGCTGTGAGCAAAGTTTTGCCCGTAAATTCATGTCGAAAATGCATCGTATTTGACTCAGAGAACTCTATAGTTTGTTCAAAAGCGTGAGGCAAAAGAGTTGTTTTTGCATTGTATGGAAAATTAAAAACTCTTGGTACCTATTCTGTATGTTATTCGATAGTTTTTATTTTATAACAGGCCCACATTTACACCCATTTCTGCGAAATAAAATCCCCTTAATACGGCAAGTAACTAGTCTACTTGAAAGTGTCACTGATTTTGACAGGCTGGTTGACTCATCAACATAGAATCTTGAGCAAAAGGGTATGAGTTCAAGTTTCCGATTTAGAAGAACACACTACAATTGTAAAATGTGTGAACGAAGAAAAGTAATGAAAAAAGGGAGACTAACAAGAACGTTTACAATTTCGACGATCATAAATAGTGAATAAATATGCCCTAGCTCAAACAGTTTGAATCTCTCACGTCGGTTTATGACATTTCGGAGATCCCCACTGAGAAAACCTCCACCCTCTTACAGAATTCAATAGTTCCAAAGATTGATGCCGATTTGTTTTGGTCATCCTTTACCGTTTTTCTGATTTATCTTACTTCAACTAACTGCACTCATGAAAAGTGTCCAACCATGTTCAGCAGATGTTCTGAACATTTAAACAGAAGGATCACTACCTCAGTGACAGGTTTACCATAACTATTCAACATCTTCCATAAACATTGTTCACTGCAGTGTCCCACTCAATGTGAACAGTAGGATGAATAGTCGAAAACCTGTAATTCTTGTCATAGTTCTGACTGTGACTATATCTTGCACTGAGAAAGTAGAGCAAAAGAGTCTAGTGAACACTCCAATACCCTTTTAATAGACAGTCAGATACCACGACGGCTTCAAAGATGAAATATGCCGGTAAATGACAAAGGAGTTTTCTTTGCTGATGCTGAGAATTTCTTGGTCAACAGTCGATAAGTTTCTCTGAGAACATTGCTTGTACCATCCAATTTTTCAAACGAAAATGGCGACAGTGATTAATTTTAGTCTCAGATTTACCTTATTTAAAAAAATGTAATACCAGTCTACCTCCAACTAGTCATACTATATAATGTTTGTCATTTTTATCCCAGTAAAATGTAAACGTGTGTTAATGTGCAAAGTTTTTGTGTACTTCAAATTAGGTATCATTTTCTTGTTGACAAACAAGGTTGACCAATAATGTCCAGTGAAATGAACGAGTACAAATAACTGAATTAAGTTTTAAAGAGGTCCTTTTGTGAGTCATTACTTTAGTGGGGAACACATACGCTATAAGTTTTGGATTCAAACCTAAGGAACAATGTCACTATCTACTGGGATGCCGTTTATTCCAGTTGATGCGTGTGTGGTATACGAAATACCGCGTTTAAACTTTTTTGTAAGGAACCATTAGGTAAATAAAGTGCTAAATACAAATTCAGCTTTGCTTAATTGTCTTTATATGGAAATAAAATAAGGTCACATAAAGCAGATGAATACATTACATGTGTTACAAATAAAAATACAGTCGGAGTATATCTGTAGTTAACAAATAGTCTGCCCTGTATTTTGATCGAAATGTCATATTTTGTAATCTTTGCCATTTTTAAGCATCAAAAGTACTACAATTGAATACATATTTATTTCAGCACTTGCCTGATTTAATGAGACAGTTTCCACTACAAAACCGGAGGTCTCAAGTTTATGGCCGAAATCGTAAAATATGTTCCATGGCGTGTTATAGATGTCCGTCTCTTTATTTGTACGGTATCTTCTTAAAAGAACTTACAAGTGGCTGGAGTGAAAATGCCACTGATCGTGTTTTCAAAATACTGGTTCATGTGTGCTTTAATCAAAATTTTTGGCTACGCCTTTCACGCGTTCTCTCTCAAAGACCAGGTAACCACTCACCTCTCATTAGTTTATTTGTTTTTTAACAAAACTTGTTTGTAGATAAACAAAAAAGTGTGTTTGTAGCGAGTATAAGTAAAACGTTGATACCAACTGTTTAGAGTGGCTTATCACAAAGTATTTTTATTTGTAAATTTACATCCTGAAACAGACCATATTTTTACAAACGGCACTGTTTTCGGTCAAGTAGTTATTCAGAATTCAAGTGGTTGGAATAATGGACTTCTATGTACTGAATTAATCCGGGTAAACTTAGAATAAGATTATCCCTAACTGGGTGATCATTTTGATCTGCCTAGAAAGCACGATTGGTTGGGTGGTTGCACATATGAAGATATGACGCTCTTCCTATGCAGAACATTATAAGGATGTTAACAATATTTTTTGATTACAGTAATGCCAATATTTTTGATGACAGTCTTAAGATGTGGCTATGTGGTGAACAATAAACAGTAGTAACCTGATTGTCGCTTAATACGACTTATATTTCAAACAAAGATATACAACATTCATTTACTGAAACAGTTGCGTGGACTTTATGGGATACTGATATCTATTCGAAGTTTGAAATATATAATGCACCACTGTCTGTTTCCAGACATACAGTATGTGGTTAGTCTCTCGATACTTTAGTGATGCAAAAAATACTTATACGACTTTGTGTTCATCGTAAAACTGATGCAGTTAGAGGTAACCTAATTGTGAACTTTTGTAGAAGAAAATAAGTGGGCCGCTAAACACTTGGAATGACATCAGAAAACTAAATTTAAAAAATGAGAAATATCAACTGCTGAGTGGTGTGAGTTGTCATTTTTAGCTCTGTTTAGTCTTGAAGTAGCACTAAAAATGTCACTTTAGTTGTGCAAACCACGATTTTTGAGAAGCCTTACTTTGTAGTTAAACTTCAATCTTTACTAGTTTTTAACATAAAACGGTTAAACGTTACTCATTTTCTAGGGAATTGTTCATAGCATAAATTATAATAATAATAATCTGTTCTTAGCTGCAGATCGTCGTTCTGAACTGGCTATCCGTCTTTTTATGAGAAAGGTATTCCTGGATCCTGTCGCCTTACCATTTGTCGATGAACAGAATCATAGTCCTTTCTATACCGGCTGTCGTAAGGGAACTTATACATTAACGGGTAACAACTCATTGGTTGTTGAGGATGATAGCTCACAAGAAGAGGGACGAGTTGAAACGAAAAGCCGTCGACTTAAAAAAACTGAAGATGCCATATTACTTCAAAATCCACGTGCTGCTGCAGCTAACAGCTATTACAATAGTGCAGGTCCTTCAACAAATTCGGTCAAGTCTGCGAAATCATCTCGGTTAGTTTATTTAGATTGAGTTATATTTGTAATGCTGGTGTTTGTTCTTACACTTACATTTTATCTTCCCAAATTATTGCATCTCCTATTTGAACATTCTTTTCAAATTGTCTCACTCTAAAGTGATTTGTTGAAATTGCATATTAGTTTGTTTCTATACACCCCTGTCTTATATAAGACACTATTTAATCAAATATATAGGATATTCACTCATAAGTTCTGCTGGAGTGCGATAATTCGTCCAATCCCTTTTTGTTAACTCTAGCTATTTGTGCAAAATCTGCATCAGAAAACAACTTTATTTAAATGTGCTGTAGTTTTGAAAACCACCTAACTGTTTTGATGTGTAGTTAGAAAGAGAAAACCAATTTTTCAGTTTACAGCTTCAAAAGTTCATTTTTGATATTGTTCATTACTGTCTAAACTACAGCTCCAAATTAATCAGTTGCTCTGCTTTATTCATGTGCATTTGACACAATATCCAATTTTTTTAATATCTCATAACACCAGTGGTAGACGCATCGCATGACAGTATCCGTAAGCAATTTGAATGCATTATTAAGAATAAGGTCATTCTGATACCGTGCTTAAGTTCAGTTTGTCTGATTTAAATTTTATTGTGCATATTAAGCTCAGTATTTATGTAAAACCGCCCCCTGAGATGGTCAAGAACATGTATCATGTATCTTGGTTTACTTTTTATCGAAGTATCATTTCGATTCGTCTGTAGTTTTTTAAAAACTTTATTGTTAAAGATCATTAGTTTCCTGATTTTGTTACTTTTTACGGTCAGTAGATAAATAAAGACGATGAATTATATGCACTATGTAGATGGAAGTTTAGGTAGCCCAACATTCAGACAGGTCCACCCGTTGCTAGTTACGTCCCGGCCTAACTTTTCCAAACTCAGCAGCTTTTTCCGGACATAGGCTCAGTTGTCCGAGCTAAATAGTCCTACGTTAAATCCTTCTAAATGCCAGATAAGCAACTTCACCTTCAGGCATAAACATGATCAGTTAACAGGATGTTTGTAGCATAGAGGGCACTGAAAAAGAAACTAAAGCAAGCATAAAAAATTTGAAATTGTTCTATCCTCCGACCTTTCTTGTCAATTTCTAGGAAAATGTTCCATCTAACCTACCACATTGGGACAGTCAGGAACTATTCAGCCTCTGCTTTTACCATTTGTTAACTCTTGCATCTTACCTATTGTTCTTTGTTGCTCCTCCGTAGTCTTTCCTGATCTACTCAAAAAGGACTATCTTATATTAAAGGTTGTCAGTAGGTCAAGTGGTGTGCTACCAAGTAAGCTTGTTAATACTGTAGTCAACAGACATCTGAACTCATGTGAGAAAATGTCCAAATCCATACTGTCTGACTGTCAATACCCTCTCTATTCATAACTCTTCCCTTGCATCTCATCAGGTAGGTAAGACTAGAAGTCATTATCTGCTCGCACAACTAACTACAGAAACTCAACGATACTCTACTTTACCGAAGTTTTATGTGACAGAGAAAGTATCAAGCGTGGAACTCACAACTTACTGTGTAATCAGCAAAATGAATGGCTATTTGATCTTCTCCTAATTGTAATTTATGGTCACATTACTTCAGTTATCTTATAATTTGTTATTATTATTAATATCAACTTACATTTTTTCCACATTTTTGACTTTATTGTCACTTCTGATACCAAAAAGTTACCATTAGCAATTTTGGTTACCTATATCTTGAAATATAAATTTTGTGTTTTTGCTGCTGTCGAGTAAATTAGATGCAATATTTTACCAAATGCTGAGAATTCCACACTGTATCTCAAGTATTCTTTTGCAATAAAACAAATTATTATTATTTCACTTCTGTACATCCCCTTTTGTCATCTTTACTATTCTATTGTTACATACTTTTGTTCTTCATTATTCCTTTCTGAAATGGCAAAATTTTGTTGTATATTAGCGCTTTTCAGTTTCTAAATGAAACTAGTATGGTGTTTATAAAGTGACAAAATTTTTCATTGGACTATTTTAATTGTATAATAGTTTTAATCCGATTACTATAGTTTCATCAGTCAGTTTACAGGATTGAAATAATCACTTCACGTTCCCAGTGGGACATAGGGCTCCAAGGTAGAGGCTTGAAGTTTCTGTCGCAGTGTTGCTTATTTTTACAGGATGGGGTTGCTAGCCTCATGCCCAACCTTTCCTCTTTACCAGCTTTATTACTGGCTTAGCGAGGTAAAGGGGTGCGTCGGCCGGGGATCGAACCCTGGACCATGTGCATGGTCGGCGAGCGTCCTAACCACTGTGTATGAGATGTACACATTAGTTTAATTTTAAGTAGAATGAGATGCACGTACGTGCGTCGGTGGCACAGTGGTTAGGACTCTCGCCGACCACGCACATGGTCCGAGGTTCGATTCCCTGCCGACGCACACCTGATATCTGTGGTCGGCCTGCAAAATTTGGGCTACCGATATTCATGCTGAAAATTCCATACTTGTACCAAAAATACGGTGTGGAATCAAGCTGTAATCAAAAATAAAAAAAACAAAATAAATATATAATGCAAATTCAATTCATAGAAATGGGTGTAAATTCATTCTAATGGAAAATAGCAAATAATAAGTTAGTTGCCACTTAATTCAGTTAAAAGTTTCTCTTTTTATAGTTATGTCGCGGGCCCGTCTTCTTCATCTGTGGTCCTACCTTCTCAAGTTTCATCATTTCGCAGTAGCGAACCCTCTTGGAAATATAATTGGAAAGCTTCGGGAATTTTGAAGAAAATTCTGAAGAATTTTGACGTCAAAAAGCAAGCGAGACTTCTATTTATTCTTTACGGACCAATAAGTAGAGGTAATTGAATGAATATAGATTTATTTGTATTTAACTTTGTCATTTAAGAGATAAATGTGCGGCCGATTAAAATAAATGCAGTTTGTTTATGTTCACTAGAAACAACACAATAATATATTTCATTTTACATCCACAACAGTTTTAATGTGTAGCTATCACCATATTGGTAATGAATTCCATTATAGGGGCCTGAGTGCTGATTTATTCATGTGTTGAGTGCTTTATTGAAGTTGTTTCCTTTCTACTGAGTATTACTGCCTTATTTGTTATTTAAATTCAGCTACCCAGCAGAGATTTGTCATATGCTAGGCTTTTACTCATACATATAGCATGATAACTGATAATTACTTCCAGACTGAAATCGATGTGGGAGAATCGGATTACCCTATTCATTGGCTGAAACAAAGGGTAGTCAACCTCTATTCAAAGGAAGTAAACCTCTAGTGAAATAAAACTGCTTGAAAAGAGATTAAATTTCAATGTAACACTTAGCAAACTAAAGCCAGAAGATGTCATTCCTAACATAGAAGTAGCAATAAGTTCAATAGATAAGACGACAGCAGAAGAATTTTGAACACAATGTGTATTAAATCTTAAAAAGCAAAAGTAAACACAGTCAAACTTAACAAAATCGGAAAGGTTAGCTCTAATTAAGCTTAAAAAGGATAAAAACATCATCACAAAAGCTGATAAAGGAAAATCTACAGTATTTTTGATTATATACTGCTGCCTTGGCCGTAGAGGGATAGACATTTATTTTATTATTTTATGCACTTTTCCCTTATTACTTCGATTATTATTATTATTATCATTATTATTACGACTCTCATTCTGAATCTTTTCCACTTGATCTACTTGACATTTTAAACCAAAAATTATTCATGTGTATGCTTCTTATCTTTATTTTTACAATATTAAATTCTATGTTATCAAATTTCACACTATATAAAAAAAGTCATTGAACACATTGAAACAGGTCTATATGAGGAAATTAAGAAGCCTGTAGATACAGTAATGAATAAGATTAGGAAGTCTACAGCAGATTTAATACACAGAATGAAGCCGTCACTGGGTGAGTCTAAATGGTTTAGTTTAATGCCTAAAACTAATAATGCTAGTAGAATATATGGTACTATTATAACACATAAGCCAGGTTACCCCATACCACCAATAGTAGATTTCAGAAATATGCCTACATATGAATTATCAAAACAATTAGCAGTAATACTATGCCCCGTTATAAATTATTCAAACTCTAGGCTAACTGATTCATATGAAACGAAAAGGAAACTAAATAACATTCAATTAGAGAATAAGGTAAAATGGTTAGTTTTGATATAACTAGTCTTTATACTTACATACCAATCAATATGGACTTAGAAGCGGCTAAAAGAAACATAAATTCTGATCCCGAACTCATTCATAGGATAAAACTGCCCATTGAGGTAATTATTTTATGAATTTAGTTATGCCTCACGTCAACGATCTTCAAACTCCAGGACAAAATATATAAAAAATCAGACGTATTGCAATGAGATCCCCAATGTCCCCTATGGTAGCAGACATCTTTACAGACAGCTGGAAAAATATTACTCTAAACACATTTAACCCTACTTCAAAAATATGGTGGATACATATGAATAACAATTTCACCATGTTAGAAACAAAAAGTTTCTCTAGCTTCTTGACGCATATAAACTTATTAGTGAAGGGAATAAAATTGAAATTTGAATAGGTAAAGGAACAAGGAGAATTAGCTATGTTAGATTGTAAAATAAAACGAACAGAAGAAGGTAAACTGCACACTAGCGCTCATAAAAAACCAACGTATTCTAATAGATTTTTAGACTTTAATTCATCTCATCCATCGTTGTCTGTAAAGGCAGGATTCGTTAAGTGTCTAACAAACCGAGAATATCTAAATGACGAAATAAAACAGATAGAAGTGTTGGTACCAAATAACTATCCTATAAAATAATGATAACATAAATAAGAGAGAATATAAGGCATCTACAGTCCTATGATCATATAAGGAGGGGACATCTGAGGCCCTAGGTAGGATTCTCAATAAAGCAGGAATTAGGGTGGCATTTAGACCTACAAACCCACTCAGAAACAAGCTCTGTAGGCTAAAGGACTCGGTGGATCCAATTAAAGAAAATAATATAATTTACAAAATACCTTGCAATGACTGTGAGTTAAGTCAACTACAAAGGTCAAACTAGTAAGTAGATCAGGAGTAGTGAGATTGTTTGTCAGAACATAAGAATTTAGCTAGGGTTAAACTGCTTGATCCTACGAAGATAGGTAATTCAGAAAAAAGTTCAGCAATAACACTGCATGCATTAACACACAATAGGGTGGGTAGGATAGAGTCGAAATTCCCAAAAGTAGTGTAGGTAGGTGGAAAGAGATTGATTACTGTATCCTGGTTCATCGAGTCTACACCCAACACATGCAACAGAAATGAATCAACGCAAATACCAGAGATATGGAAGATATTATTACCAGTCAAATTAGAGGATGATAAATAATATTAACATGTATTGAATTCACATTACAACATTCTAGCAAGTTATTTATTTTTACAATGAAAACATCTTACTTCCCATCTTGTTGTTTCTCGTTGGATTTCCGAACATCACCCTTCGTGGTTAAGTAAAGGACAAACAAAATTCATTCGTAGCGCTGTTCTAACTCATCTTGTGGATACGGAACACAAGATTGATGTCAACGAGGCTTTCGAAGTCATTTACCGGATACCAACGAATCTTAACTTCTCCTTTAGTGTTCGTTCACTAAATATTGCTGAGGCCGTTTGGATCCACATTAAGAAGCCTAATTTATGTGTCTAAAATAAGCTAGTTCAGACATTGTTCTTATCTTGTCCATCTAAGTTGGAAGGATCTTCAACTTTTTCTAGAGATTTCCTTAACTTTAGTTGATATTCTATTTGGTATTAAATTATTATTATTATTATAATTTAAGCATCTTTAATGAACTGTACTCCCATTGATCTAACGAATGGATTTTATTTAAAAAACAATAATATTGCTGTTGACTACTATTCCGGAATATTCTATATATATAGGCATTTATATATAATTGTAGAGCCAGAAGAGGAAATTATCGAAAAGGATATTCATTGCTCAATTATTTTGTGTTTTATTGATAACACTAATATTATTACAAAATGTACTATGTCTCATATTGATTTTATTCAAATGTCTAGTCGATTTTGACCCATGTATATAAATGAAGCCAGATAGTTGTGTGAGTGCCTTTCTCAAACATATGTTTTCACATGAAGTGAAGGCATTAGGTCAGGAGAAAGCTGGCGTGTGCACACAGTTTCGTAAAAAGATATGTTCAATGAATTCCTACCAGTCTAGCTAGAGTGATCATTTTGTTTCTAATCGTTTTCGTAAGCCAGCTAACTATACTTTAGTGAAATAATATAATTACACATGAAAGTAGAGTAACTGATTAGTTGTTAAAATGACCCACACCGTAGACGGACAACCCATAGAGTGAAATTTATCACCTTCAAACCCGTGTTAGTGGTCTGGTACTATGTGCTGGAAACGCTTTTCACAGAAAGTGGAATGACTCTTTCTGTTAGGATTATTTGTCTGCTGGAAGACGTCGGGTACCATTTGGTTAAAGTTAGTCAACACATTCATTCATTGTTAAATGACGAACAATAAGTATATAGGTGTTTTGGTTATTCAATACAAATCCTTTATTATAATTACCACTACTTTTTCACCAATGAATTACTACTGAAATTCTCAGGTTATTTAATGTGGCGAACAGTGTGTCGAAATACAGCTGCTGATGGTAACCAATTATTGACTTGCTTTGGCGAACTCGGAGGTGTTATTTGTAACATGTTTTATTCTGGCTTATGGACATCTGCAGATGTTATTCGTATTTTCGATAATATCACTGTTTTACCGAATGAATGGCTATCAGAAAACATTGCCTGTTTAATGTATTGCTCAGGTTTGTTTAGTCTTTTTATCACATGAACAAATTAACGTTTATGAAATAAAAATTGAAAAGAGTGAAAATAATCTGAACAAGCCTATTTTGTTTTGTTATCTATCACCTTTCTTCCAAGGACTTGAAGCACAGACTTTGTAATGCATAGTAGTAGTAGTAGTAGTAGTGTGTTATGCTTTCCCATGTCATCTTCCACTATGTGCATGAATTGATGTTTGGATGTCACAGGATTTGTTTGTAAGATCAGAAAGAATGGTAGTTTTTAGGCTTGAATTACGATTCCTCTGTGTGTATCTCACACTCATATCTCATTGGACTAACTTATTGAGATGTTTTGTATAGTTTTGAGATTAAAAATGAACAGGTTAAGTAGAGTTTATTTATATTTATTTCCGACTATAACCGCTAAGTTATTTGAAGTTGATTTGTCTTCAAAAATAAAAGTGGTGACGACCTTTCCCATACTCTGTGAACTTGTATTGTTCACCTATTGATATATGGACATAGCATATCTCATCAGTCTGGTATACGTCATCACCACCATTCAGCTGTCATTCATCTGTTAGTCAGACAGAAACAAATAGTATGTTGTCATATGATGAGTGTCAACCAATCAGAATCGAGAACTATCGCAGAGGGTGAGATTGGTTCCTACTGGATAAGAGCTTTGGCTAATGTGTATGACACCATGATAGGCATTGACTCCCTCATTGTGCTCGTCAGTTGTCGTCTGGGTTGACAATTTGGAGTGTGTACTCCCATTCCACCTGCTGTCACAGACTCCTAACACCTCCATGCCATATATCTCCTTGTTTATCGTCAATCTGTGAAGCCTTCCCAGCTGACTCTGTATATTGTGTAAAGATTCCACGTTCTCGTGTTAACTTTTGCTTTGATCGAAAGAAGATACATCAGATGACTGGCTCCATGGTGGCTTTGACCAGCCCAAATCATTCCGTCTGTCTGATTCAAGCAAGTTATGAGATTTTGTAAATACTTTTGTCGTGATTTGAAGTTTCTGTAGGGATTAGACTGATTTTTCAGGGTACGGTGGCTATCTTCAGACGCAATGTTCCTTCTTTTCCCGGGCTTAGAACCAGCTGGAAAATCAGTGAACTAATTAACTAGTGGGGGTTTATTGACTGAATTTATATGGATTGTTACTTATACTAACCGTCTTATTCAATGTCTTAGTGAAGTGGTGAGGATATTGGTTATTTTTAACAGATTTGCCCCCTTTCGTTTTAGTATACTTGAATACTTTGAACGGAGGTGATCGATTTTAGTTTGAATTTCCTCAGGCAGTTGGTCTTCGCGCTCAAAGTGTTGCTGTAGTCATATCAAATGTTACTATCACTCTTTTTTTAGAGATGTTTTACTTTACACAGGTGCAATATATTTTATGGCACCGTTATTGAGTATGCGAAAATACCTTGCTCTAATGTACCAACAGAAGACAAGGGCCAGGCAACAGATCGTTTTATTATGAAAATCAACACGTATTTATACATATTTCAACTACATTATTATAGACAAGCGCAGTCATCTGATTGGTTGTTTATCAGAAGTTAGGTAGACAAACGCAGGCTTCTGATTGGTTGTTTCGGGATTCCTTGACAAATAGAGTTTTCTATCTGCGAATCATATTTTGCCACGTTAACTTTGCTGTGATTGGTTGTTGACTCAGCCTTGTTCATATTTTCTCACGGCCCATATTAGTGACCTAGACCTTAACGTAGATTAGTGCCAACCAATCGGCTAGCAGCCTGCTCTCACCACACTAATGAACTTATCTTCTCGCCTACATTCCTCAACATTTTGGTTCTTATTTATCTCATTTTTTAAAATGATTCATTCCTTTATATTTATCATTGCGACAGTTTAGTGATTAGATAGATAGTTTAGTCGTACCGATATCTGTTATTGTTCTGTGACTCGCTAAATATTTTGTCGGAAGCACGCAAATCAGTAGTCTGTGACTTCATCAAATATGGCTTGAAATAAAAATTCGTGTGCCTTGATGGCTGTTTTATTATATTTTTTAATTTTGAAAACGCTTTTAGCTTACCTGCCTTGTCTGTCCCACCCAATCCTTATATTGCCTGACTTAAATTGAAGTTATGAATGCCATAAAGTTATCGAAAGCGGCGCTATCAGATGGAATCCACCAGATATCCCACTTGGTTTGCTCATACCACTGCTGCATAGGATACAGAAGGAAGGAACGGTACCTACCAATTAGAAGAAATACTATCTTGTCAAATTCCTCAGGAACCACAACAAAAACCTACGGAAGGACTGGCTGGACCATGCTGCTGTCTGCCTCAAGCAGAATGTGAGGCCTCATTGTGTAGGAAAGACTGAAAGTTGTCTTCTACTGAAGACTGCGTCTGGGACAGACTATAGTAAGAGGAAACATTTTGCGTTGACCAAGCTCATCGTCGGACAGGGCCTAAATTGATTTTGAGGAGGCCTTCACCATATGGTTGATCATTAAGTAATCCTACAACTGCCTCAACACTACGGAGTTCACTGCCGCATACACGTATAAAACCGATTAAACAACTGCATGATGATGGCGTTTTCCAAATAATTCACAGTAGCGTGCTCACTGAAACGTTCGATGTAAAGGTAGGAATAAGAAGGGCTTTCTATCGTCGTGAATCTTACAGGATGTATTGGAGTGGATGAGTCAGTAGACCATAGTACTGAGAAAGCAGGCTTTTTTGGACCGAATAAAAGACCCTGAAAGATATTTATTTCTCCGATAATTTATGCATCGTGTCATAGAGAGAAAAGAAACACTAGATGAAGGATAGTGAGGATATTCAGGATCTAGAAGCTCACAACGAGTGAATACATCTAGTCCATCGAAAGAAGATTCTATGCATATCACCAAAAGTCTTCAGTTATTGGTTCCTAGCTTCTTGGGCACCACAGGTAAGCAGTCTTTACGTCCCTGTGCTACTCAAAAAGGTAAAACAAGACTTCGATGACATGCTTTAGTCAGATCAACCCTAAGTCTTCAGATAAAATCTTCTAGGAAGGAGGTAGCTCGTCTCCTTTCCTATATACAACTGGTATGACCAACGATCTACACCTATATGGAAGTCCCATACACTACTCTAATACCTTAGTCAATCTAGTTAATACTTTATCACCACCATATCAAAGCATCTCTTCAGTCCTATCATCAGTTTCTGCTGTTTTGTGTCGATTTAAACCGAAGGTAGCTTTTGCAGTCTTAACCCAACTGAGATAGTGGTTGGGTAACTGGCAGATGATTTGCATCCCTGAAGAGAGACAAGTGGGAACCAACAAGTTAGGCGAGGAGGCAGCTAAGACAGAAATCCATGTGGACATAGAGAAAATAGAGGCGATGAAGATAACCGACAACTAGCAACCATCACCAATCAGCATCAACTGGAGAAATCTAAGTGGAGTTGTCACCACTTTCACTTGCTTGCCCATACAGAACCATTTCAATTACTGGGGACAGAGTGGATAAGGATGTAAAACGGTGGTCAGGATAGACCTAGAAAAGTAAGAGAGGAATTCATTGCTGTATGTGAAGATACACAGCACTTAGTAGTCTTTAAAGACTCTTCTACCTTGTATCTATTTGTAGTTTACTAGTGCGAAGGCGTTAAATCTTAAGTATTTATCGTCGCATTTACTTTCTTCATCTACTCACTTTTGAAGGTTTTGATTGAACTCTAGGCATCTATTTAACCGGAGTTCAAGTGTTCTTCAGTCACTTTTTTAGTGTTTATTTGACTGAGAAGTAATTTTTTGACTTATAACAACGTTAGGCGTTTGAAGTAATAAATAGGTCATTTTGTTGAGATAAACAAGCGAACAAATTGCCTTTCATAAGCACATGCAACCATTCTGCGTTTTATTTATTTTGTAATTGATTCTTACAGCAACTTAATAATCTTTATAGTCAAATAACTTAGAGGATTTTTGAAAACCTCAAGGAAATTGCTTGTGAACATTTAAGAATAGGCATAAGAGAAGTACTCTGAAATGGCCTCCTATAATTCTGAAGTTACTTCATATCCTATGGGAGATATTTGTTCATCTGACTCAAATAAAACGTATTCAGCAAAGAAGTCTACACTAATCGGTCTCTCTCTACTATCTTAACTTATACTGGTAATGCAACCATTTTACAAATAATGTGATTTCATATTATTCCACTATGATGGTTTTATTATCTTATAGACTGAAGTTTATTATATGAAGTAGGTTTTTATTGTTTTCAAGCTGTTCATACTGATACTCCCACTAGTTTTATATATTTTTCCATTTTTTCCCAAGGACCAAATGTGGGATCTGTTATTATGAGAAACAAATCGAGAAAAGGGAAATTTTCTGAGGCTGCTCGCACTCTTACCTCGTTGTGTTTAGTTCAGGTAGGTTGGTCATTTATGTCGTTTCCATCTTACGGTTAGTGTTTACAAATCCGTCCATAACATTATTTCAGGCTTTCCTACTGTTGGGAACTTGTGTAGAGAAAGTGACACTCTAACTTCGGTTGAACAAGTCTTCTTTTATAAGCCACGACATGATAGTCAAACGTCCTTATTACAATGATTCACTCAAATTGTATTAACTAAAATGCCTTTTCATCATGAGCTGACATCAGTTTGAGAACCATTGGAAAACCTGGGAGTACTGGACAGCTGTTTCATCCTGGTTTGGGACTCTTCACCAGTACGCACTCACCGCTAGTGTTCGAACCCAGTACTTTCTGTTTACAAGGCGAGCTAGCTCGTATACCATTAAGCCGCTGGGACCCAATCCAATGGCCTATGAATTTTAACTTCTGCCAATTCACGACATAGCGCGACCCCTGTAAACAATCAAATCCCTACAAACCAACACTTGAATACCAATAAGGTGCTCACTGGCGACTGGCCCTATTCAGGTAGGTAGTTACCTGGGTTCCAGTGGGAAGTCGTGACCAGTAGGGTGCAGCAAGTCGGGTGTGAGGACAAATACTCGCCGAAGACATTGGCTGGCGGTTGCGCTATATCGTGAATTGGCAGAAGTTAGAATTCATGGGCTGATCATTGGATCGGGTCCCAGTGGCTTAATGGTGTACGAGCTAGCTCGCCTTGTAAACAGAAAGTCCTGGGTTTGAACACCAGCAGTGGGTGCGTACTGATGAAGAGTCCCAAACTAGGACGAAACAGCTATCCAGTACTCCCAAGTTTTCCAATGGTTCTCTAATTGATGTCAGCTCATGATGAAATCCTGAAATCAATCAACTCCCTACAAACCAACACACGCAAATGCCTTTTGATTAAAACTCTGTCTTATTAGAATTATCAATTATAAAAGAATTCTTCCCAAAATAAGTTATATTCTTGCTCCATTGAATTATGGTTGTCTTTTATTTAAGTGAAACTCAACAGAATTCATGTTATAAGTATAAAACTTGGACACTGTGGTAGAGTATAACTCCAAAATTCAATATTTCAAGTTCACAGGAACACGAAACTGTGCCGATCTGTAAAACCTTTTAAGAGAAATTAGATTAGAGCAGTTATTCGTGGTTGAAACGATAACTGTCTAGGAGTTAAATTCAATGCTACATCGAGGGAATTTACGCATAACCCTTGTCTTTACTGTACCCATCTTAAAATGTTAATCATTGTAGGTAGCTTTGTAATTACATCTATTTTAAAGCCCAAATATGTATAGAAAACATTTATTAGCAAAATCGTTTAACGCATTCTGATACCTGACTGGAAATTATTCTGTAAGGTTCTACCCTCTCTCCTGTGTACTCAGAAATATGTAGCTCTACATAAATGACTTCATTGTAAAGACGAGATCGTCATTTACAATTTTTTCCTAAAAGTCGATTATTGTGTATTTGAGAAGTATACCTAACCTTTTGCTAAGTGACCAAATCTCTTTCAGATAGTACAGATACTCATGGAAAATTCCCATTGTAACATTTAGAAAATCAAAACAAGTGATTCAGCGAAGAGACTCTTTTCAACGAATTTATCATCAAGCTGTACAGTCGTATATATATGGTTTATCAGAAGTTATATCCGGTGAGGGAATTGAATCTTAGGTGTGAATGCACAAAATAATAATAATAATAATCATATGAAGTTCAATTAAAACTAAAATGTTTGTGATTATAATCGTAGTTAAATGTCAAGTGGCAAAGCAGATTAATGTCATATATAGAATAATTCATAGGAGGGATAGAACTTGAAAAAGGATGTGCAATTATAGGATTAGTAGGCAAATCGAATAAAACAAAAACGTTACGTAATATTGTGTGAAATTTAATAGCATAGAATTTATCGTTGTAAAAAGAATTGATTTAGAATGACAAGTGGAACAAGTGAAATAATACCGGGGACAGTTCAAAGTGAGAATAGTAATAATAACAATTGACTTAATAAGGAAGAGTATACAAATTGAATAGACAAAATGAAAAA